ATTGGGCCACTTTTGTAAATCATAAACTATTCGTTAACTAAAATGTACATTGACTATTCTGTGTGCAAATAGCTGGAATGATTTCCATTAGGAAATTCCCATTACTATACCTTCAATATTCTCCAAAGGAATAATAAAAGGCAGACACAGATTGTATTTGAGAAATAGGTCTCTATTTTTTTCTGCTTCACAAATTAGTATATTAAAAAATCTATAGAACATACTTTGATTTTTGTATTTTCAGCTCTAATTTATGACACAGTTCTTAAAACTCTTTAAGCCCCCAGACAGATGACTTAGTATATTATCTGCCCCTGCCTGCCATGTTTATAAATGGACAACAACCTGTTGGTCTTGGAAAGCTAACAGAAGATGGCTTATGCCTGTCATTCCTGCTCTGCATTCCTTGGTGCTCTCATGGTATCTCTTGGGATACCAAGAAGAGGTTTGAAATGGGAGGAGATCTTATCTTCTGCTGTGCCTGATCATCTGTCAGGTACAGAGGAATTTTGGGCACAGTGCTTGGCTTAAATACCTGTGGGGGATAGCATGTCATATGAACCTGCCCAATATGTGCAATTTGTGCAGTGTACTCATGTAGGTTTTTTTTTAGAAATGAGGCCACTGTAGAATCCTCAAACTACTGCTTAAATGATCCCAATTTTACAATTCTGTTGAGAAAGAAGTTGCTAGTGGTGTTTTCCTTTACAGTACTATAGTTGGATTGTCTCTAGAGGCACAGCAGTGGGAATTGCTTGGAGAAAATCACTTCTTATCCTCCCCACTTCAGTTTTAATAATTTTGGCCATTATATTATTTTGATTTTTGTATATAAGGTGGTAATTTATCTTAGTTTTTCTGGACACAGATAATATGTTCTCTCTGCTTCTCACATGATGCTGATTTTTCAAAAAACGTAAATAGTTAAATGTTAATGGCCTTGGACACAATCCAATTGAACAGTTCTACATTCCATGTTATTCCAACAGGTAAGAAACACAAAATCAATAAGATTAAATACACCCAACTTTTCCTGGTCTGTGCCTTTTGTTTTCATTGTTCTGTTGAAAAATAGCTTTTTCCACTGCCTTTTGGAAGAAACTATGTCTTGAGGTTGAAATTTCTAGCTATTTTATTGTCCATCTTTCCTTCTGAAAGGTGTTGATTAGCTCTGAGTAAAAATACACTGCTCAGTAATTTGGCCTTTTGTTATTAGTAGGGTGTGGTGAGTCAGACATTATATTTGTAGAATTTACTTTGCAAAAGAGTGCCTATATAAAGACCTCTTCTGCTGTTCTTTCACTTATGCCTTACCAATTAAATTTTAGGAATTGCCTGAAAGGAAATGACACTTTAAGGCAATAGTGTCCTATATGAGCTGGACATGCACATGGTAGGCATGTCATGAACAGAGCTGGCTGGAGCCAGGGGATCAGACTAGATGGCCCAGGAGGCCCATTCTGACTTGCTATGTTTCTGTGTTTGAAATGTTTCTATAATCACCTCAAAACATAGCTGTATGTTTCACATAGCATCGTACCTCAGCCTTAAAATATTTTAAATTCCTCATGTAATTTGTGCAAGATAACAGCAACTGAAACTTTAAGATACCTTTAAGTATCTTCCATTTCTTCAGACCACACCAATCTATGTTATTGTCACATGCCATCAGGAAATCTACAATGTCTAGCAATCCTATGAATGAATGCCCTCCAAAATGGCCTGTCCTTGACAGCCCTTGTAAATTCAAGGCTGTGACTTCCTTTGTGGAATCACTCCATCTCATATTTGGCCTTCCTCTTCTTCAGCCTTAGCTTTCCTTGGCATGATTGTCTTCTCCAGTGAGTCTTGTCTTCTCACAATGTGCTCCAATGTACAACAGCTTCAGTTTCCATTTTTGCTTCTAAGGAAAGCTCTGACGTGATTTGATCTAGGAGCCACTTGTTTGTATTTCTGTCAGTCCATGATATTCACAAAGCTCTCCTACAGCACCAGATCATTTTTCTTCTTGTCAGTTTTCTTCACTGTCCAGCTTTAGTGTGGAAGACCTTGGACTTGGTCTCCAGTGAAACTTCCTTACACTCGATGATCTTTTGTAGCTCCTTCATTGCTGCCCTTCCAAATTTCAGTCTTCTCTGAATTCCTTGGCTGCAATCTCCATTTAAATTGATGACTTAGTCAAGCTATGCAAAAATCTTTCACCATTTCAGTTTCTTCATTGTTGACAATAAAGATCGGCAATTCTTCTATTAGTTGATTTGGTTTACGATCCCTGACTACCTTCCCTGCACAAAGATGCCAAGTTTGAGAGAAATCAGGAAATTGCCACTTTATGCATTCTGTCGCTGAAACATACCATTAAAGGTGAATGTCACAACCCGTCATTCTTTGACTAGTACTGCATGTCACACCTAACTATGTGATAAATAATTGCATAGACATTTCACATAACCATCTGTCTGAAATGCTTAGATTTCTATTAAACCAGACTGAGTCCAGATCATAAATAGGGTGAAGGTTGAACTGTATTGGTCTTTTAGAAACAGATCATCTCACAAGCTATTAGTCCTTCATCTTTATCTCTTCTCCAAAAAAAGAGACTTCCTTTCCTCCAACTCAGTGCCTTTTTTCTACATGTTTCTTGAAGAAAGGGAAGAACATTCTATTTCAATTTCCTCAATTTTTGTGGTGTTTCGCTCTAAAGAACATTTCTACTTGTTCTGCAAAAGAGTTTTCAAGAAGATTCCCTTGCTCGTTTGTGTGTTTTAGCAGTAGTGACATTTTGACTAGAAGTCTGTATTTGTCTGATTTTCCTTGCATAAAATAGCAGAATTTACTGTCTTCCATTCATTTTTTTTCAATCTGTATAACTTTGTTCTTTATTCAGGGCAGTTATAGGTGTGTGCTTATACTTGCAGAGCTGTTCATCACACGCTGAGAGCTCAGCTTTGTAAAAACATTTCTCTTTTTTCTGCCCATTAAACTAGTGATTTCCTCTGCTAAGAGACAGAGCAGTGAAATTTCCTCTTTGATGCTACCTCCCCTGTAAATAGAGAGATCAGCTCAGGCAGTGGTTATGAATATAGGCCATGCTATAAATTATTATTGCTGCCCTGATCATGCTCCTTCAAAAGCAGCGGTAACTGTAATTTGGAAACTATTTGTACTTAGAAACATTTTTTTTCTACAACTAGTTTTTGGTTTGAATTAATGATTTCATGTAAATAGCATTAATCAGAATAATTATGTTATTAGGTTTAAAGTAAGAATTGAGGGGTTTAAACCTGATTTTCACTAGAACTGTGAAATTATATTTAATGCCAAAGTACAATTTCAAGTAAAGCCTTACTTCTACTATGCATAAAAATTATTTATGTCAGACTTGCAAAATGTGATAAAAGTAAAATAAGGGTTTTGCTTGCTTGCTCAAATCTTTCTGGATTTCACATAGAATTTTACAGCTGAGGCTAAAGCCTTAGTCAAAATTCCATGTCAAAATACAATCCTTTGTCAAAATTCAATCTTTAGTCCATAATCCAGAAGAGAAGTCATTGGTTTTAAACAAGAAAACAATCTGACCAAATAAGAGTTAGTGTAAGTAGGTGGGTACGTAGGCAAACATGGAGACTAAGCAGGCAGTACGTTTATCTTTACAGTAATGCTCAGACTAGAGACAGGTTGGCAACTGGAAACTAGAAACTGTTGTTCCCTTAGGTTACTTAACAAAACTGCTGAATCAGCCTGTGTGGGTCTGGACTGCCTGTAACAATATCCTTTTCTGAACATTTGCTTGGCAACATCCAAGACCAGTGAATAACAGTCTCAACGTACCAGTGAACTCATCCTTGGTCAGAGTGTGATCATGGTGTAAGATGCTGCCATCTGGCTACTATAATCTTTGGTTTAAAATATACTGGAGACTTACACTGGAAGAAATACCATTGCTGTACCAGTTGAACTTCACAAACTGTGGTATGGTATTGGCAGGGGTTTTTTTGTCATAGAATGCACCGGAACGACGTTTCGGCACCTTTTTTTGACGGATTTTTCCAAGTGATTGTGAATCGCCCTGTTGGGCATAGCAGATAGGTGACAAAAATCATTAACATAGTACCTGCGGGTTGCTTGTGTGTCGGCGCTGATTGTGAGGGCGCTGCTCGGCTTGGAATGCTGCTCAGCTTAGGATCAGTCGCGTGCTGACTGCTTACTGCCAGCAGTGACCATTATGTGAGTTCCGGCACCTTTTTTTTTTTTTTTTTTTTTTTTTTTTACAAAAAAAGCACTGAGTATTGGTATTACAAAAAAATATTAGAACATAAATGTTTGTGTTGCAGCTTGTAGAGACACATTCTTGGAAGGCTTTTGGAGATATTTTGTCTGTTGTGGGAATGGAGATGAATTACTATATTTGGTAGCAACAATCATGTGCATGAAATGGCCAGAAATACTGTTATACACAAGACTGGGTTTAGGGTGGGTGATTGTCAGGTACAACAAGCTGAAGGAAGTACTGAGCTATACTTGGTGAATCATATTTCTTGGGTATACTGTTTTCAGTGTGCTAGGGCAACACAAATATTAAGTATCTTTCATTCTTTTTGCTGTATTCTATAAGTAGTATTGGTACTTTGACATGCACATGGTAGGAGTGTCATGAGCGGAGCTGGCTGGAGCCGGGGGTCAGACTAGATGGCCTGGGAGGTCCCTTCTGACTTGCTCTGTGTTTCTATGTTCTACTAACTAAAATATGAACTTTTATAAGTATCTGTTTAAAGTATCAGTTAGCTTTTCTGTTCACAGTTTAATGTTATTTGTTCTAGATAAAATCAGAAGAACATGGCTTTCATTTGAGACATTACCAAGAGTTATGAGAATTATAAATACTCTAAAGGACTATAGGTTATAATATAATAAATTATAAGCTGATCAGGAACAAGCGAGATAAGGCAACCAAGATATGCATCTCACCCAGAGTTTGTTTCTCTAAGGGCTAGTTCTACTTGCAAATCTACATCTGTGAACTCTTGTCATTGTCCTCAAAAGTAAATGTCTTACATGCTATTGCAGAAGGGTAAATGTCTTATATGCTATTGCATTTTTAAAATATGCCACCCCCCCCACAAAATGGCTGGCAGTAGGGGGTGAGGTGGCCAATAATAAAAATATTAGGAGCATCCTCTGTGTGTGTGTGTGTGCGCGCGCACATGCGTGCATGTACAAATGTGTGTGCATCTGTATGAGAAAGGGAGAGCTTTCAGAGGCTATTTTCCTCCTCCTCCTCCTCCTCCTCTTGTAAGTGAATGATTTATTTGTGTTGGCTGCCATCTTTTTTACTTCAGAGTGATTACGAATAACATGAGCTAAATATATGGCAACTATGCAACCAATAGCAGAGCTGTGATATTACTGTTAAATGGGGTTGCAGCAGACTAAAGTATTGAGCAGTGACACTAAAGAATTCATTTCTGCTGCCACAACCATAGGCATCCACCCCAGGGCAGTGAACGATGGTGTACCTCCCCCAACAAAATAGTGAATCCCCATTGTCAGGAGCTTGAATTCAATCCCCTATCCAGAATATCACAAATAGATCAGCAACGTGATATTCATCCCACCTGTAATCATAATGATTTACCTAAGATTTGGTGCACAGACTTATCATAAAGATATTAGTTTGTGTGCTGTAACATATCCTTCAGCTGGATGTGGAAAAATGTGGTTTAGGCAGGCACAGGCAACATATTTCTAAGTACTATGTTTGAACCAGTGTGTGTGTGTATGTGTGTTTGATTTATGGCCCCTCAAAAGAGCACGCATCAGTATTTTTACCTGGAAATGCAAGACTTGTCTCAGAATTTCATGTTGCTTCTTATTTCCTTATTGATATTTAATGGGTTTACTATATTTGCCATCATATAATTACTATATAAGACAAAATCACATCAAAATATGCAGCTGGAAACATAAGAAAATAAAAAATGTATGCTAAATCCTAAATTAGGCTCCATATTCATCCAACATATCAACCAAAATTGCTCTGATTTTCTTTAATGTACAAACATTAATAACTCTGTAGGTAGCTGCCACATCCAGGTCTGAAAGTATGTAAAAGACCTTTCCTACATCTTAGGTAGAAAGCAGAGTTTCCCTTCTTGCCATAGTCTTGGCATGAAGAGTTTTTGTCTCTTTTCTGGGTAGCTGCAAAAATAAAATGCCAGTAATCTAGAAGCCTGAGAGGGAGCCATTTATACAGTGTGGATTGGCCCAGGTCGGGAACCTACTCTGACAGAGCTTATAGAATAGTGTCCTGTATGAAGGCACTAATTAATAGGCAACTTTAATTTGGTTTGGCATACATTTATGGTCTATGCTGTGCATAATACAGCAGTTTTAAAGCCACCTGTATAGCATGGGGACATTTGAAAACATCTCTTGGGACAATCTGGTCCTGTCCCAGAACTACCCAGGCTTCTATAATACTTGATGGTTGTACAGCTATGACTCTTTAGTACAGGTTGACGTTGACAGCGTCAGAACATCTCACATGGTGGAGTGTTTGACTGGAGTGTTTGGTTATGATATTCTGTTTTGTCAAGTGTAAAAACTACAAACAGAAGGATTTCAGAGGTCTCCAAAAGGGTCTCCCACACTGGGATAATGAGAATTAAAATGGGAGCTGTCATTAAGTGTAAGTAAGTATGAAGTGATGTGAGTGGTGGCAAAAAATTCTAACCATATATGCTGATTGAATCTTGCATTTTATGGTGGAAAGCTCATTGAAGATGTCAACCCCCAGGGTGCTGCCAATGTGAAAGAGGCAAATGCCATGCTGAGCTTAATTAAGAAAGGAATCTATAGTAAAACGACCATTATCACAATATGTTTATATTGTGAAATCACACTTGGAATACTGTTCTGCTCACTGCACCTAAAAAAAGGATAGATTTGGAAAAAAGACAACCAACAAGATTCTTTAAAAAGTAGTATGACAATCTCTGTGACTATTGTGCTTGGAAAAAGGGCACACGTGGGGAGACATAATAGAAGTGTACAAAATAATAAACAGTGCGAAGAAAGTCGATAGGGAGACGTCCCATGAAACAGATTGGTGCTAGATTCAAGACAGTTAAAAAGGAAGCGTTTCATACAGCACATAGTTTATATTATGGAATTCTCTATCACAGGATGTAGTGATGGCCACCAGTTAGCTTTAAAGGAGAGTAGACAAATTCATGGAAAATAAGGCTGTCAGTGTATATTAGTAATGGTGGCTCTGTGCTATCTCCAATGGTAGATGCATCATGTGCCTGTATACCAGTTGCTGGGAAACACAAATGGGATAGTGCTATTGCACTTCTGCCCTCTTGCTGGGTTTCCTGTAGACATCTGTGTGTCTGCTATATGAACAGAATGCTGAACTAGGTAGACCAGGGGTGCAACCATCATTGCACATTTTATGTTCCTGAGATACCAATTCCTTAATCTGATGGGGGCATTCATATAAATCCACTGCTCCCAGGGCACCTTATTATAGCAATTTTCCACTATGCCAGAAGTCATCACATAGAAAGACAGCTTAGTAAATGCATTGTTTTGAATGGGGAGAATCAATTTATAAAAATATTTAGCTTTATTATGTGATCTTCTAAGTGGACAGAAACATTTTATGATATTTAAGGTTTGATCATAAGGAGCATCCCAAGCAAATACCTTTTGGATGATTTTTTTTTCTCCTGTTCACTTGTTCCATATCATCCCCTATCCAGTCCTCATTGCAAAGTGCTTTCAAGGAGCTAGCCAGTTGCACTCATACCACCCTTACTAGCTGCTGGGTCAGAAGGCCAAGTTGAAACATCAGCAGGCAGTCACAGATTCTTGTAGTAATAGAGGAGCAGCCAAATTCTTTCAGCAGCAGACTGATCCTGAGTTTTATCCCTTTCTACAGCAGTGTTATATATTTACACAACCTTTTGTAATACTTTGTCTCTGAAGTTAACATTCAAATATCAAAACCTGTTTAAGGTTTTAAAAATGTTTGTTGATAGTTATTCCACCAGGTGCATGTCATACTTGTTTGTATTTATCAAAACTGCAATAATTGTCTTCCAACAGATCTAAAGAGGGAAGCCAGTATCTGTCACATGCTGAAACATCCTCATATTGTTGAACTTTTGGAGACCTACAGTTCTGATGGAATGCTATATATGGTTTTCGAATTGTAAGTTTTATATTCTTTGCTTATTGTGCACAAATAGTGAACAACATACAGTTAAATTTTTCCAGTGTGGACAAACAAGTTGATTTCAGCAGTTGATTAACTTTCCTAACGTTTAAATAATATTGAATAATATCAAGCAGTTCTTTAAGAATGGCTCAGAGTATATATAATAGGAATGTTTTGTGAGAAATTAAATTGGATTAGTATATAGAACATTAAAGACAATTTCTAACAAAGCAAAACTTACTGGAGTGGTTCTCTACAAGATTTTCTGGTTTATCTTTTAAAGAACACTTGACTCTTACTTATGAACTTCACTAGATTAAAAGAGGAGGCAAAACAAAGTACTTGCACAGCACATAGTTAAACTATGGGATTTGTTTCCACTAAATGTAATGATGACTACCAACTTGGATGGGGTTCCTAAAGAATAGGAAAAGTCATAAGGGTAAGTGCATCAGTGGCTACAAATTATGACAGGTATATATTATTTCCAGTACTGGGGGAGAACAAGAATGCAGGGATGTTCATGTCCTGCTATAGGTTTCCAGTAGGTATCTGGTTGGGCAGTGTGTGAACAGAATGACGGATTGGATAGGCCTTTTGTCTGATTTATTATGGCTTTTCAGATGTTCTTAGGGTGTAACTAAGCAGAATAACAGAATAGTACAGTTGGAAGGGGCCAGAAGAAACAATTTAAATGCAACAAAGGGCATGCTGAACTTCCATTCAAGTGACTTGATAAATTAATCAAGTGACATAAAACTGCTTATCATAGCTGTATCTCTGCTGAGAGCCACAATCCCAAGGGCTGTGTGTTGTGTTATATGCATGATTCTCTGTTCCTTTCCTTCTGGATATAGCTTTTCTGTTCTTGAAAATTCCTCCTGAGTCCCCCATGAAGCTGTTACTGATGCTGTATTGGAGTCGTTCAGTTGCGGGAAAGTCATTTATTCCTTCTTCATTACCACTATGCATGAAAATACTTATCATTCAGACATGGGGTTCTTTGGATCCCAGCCAATATCTTCATTATGTATTATATGTGCAAAATAGATTTTCTTAACTTTACTGCAGAATTGCCGTTAAACAACTTTCTTGAACGGCAAACTAAAATTTAAATATCTAAATATAAATGCAATAACCGCATTAAATAAGCGGTGTTAAAATATTGCTCATTTCTTTACCAAAATAATAGTTACCTTTGTGGAAGCCATGGTACTAAAATGAGGGTTTGTTGAATTTTTAAAAAATTATCTCACTAGGAACATAAGGATGCTGCCTTTTACTGAGTCAGACCATCTCACCTGTTATGGTCAACACAGTTTGGCAGTGCATCTCCAGGGTTTCAGGCAGGATTTTTTTCAGTTCTGCGTAGAGATATTTCATAAAGTAGAAATTCTTGTTTCTGGGAAGCATTTAATGAATTCACATGTGGCAGGAGAACAAAATCGCACTTCATTTATTGGGAGTCTATCTCCATCTACTGGTGATAAGTTAACTATACTACCAGATTCTAAACTAATACTGATGCTCTCATTTCTTAATGATATGTATATATTTACTGTTGATGAAATGTATAATGCAGTGTTCAATCTTTAAAGAAAACAAGATTTTTTTCTGTTAGATATCATTTCTATTCTAGAGACAGTTGTCACCAGAAACAGGGAAATAAAAACTTTATTAATATTTAAAAAGTATGACTATGTTGTTTTGGCTTAATGGTTAGATGTTTGTTCAAAATGTTAAATTTTTAAAAATCTACATAGACTATTTAGCTCATACAGACGATAAGC